GCTTGTAGCCATCAACGTGCTGATGGAGCTCGTCATCGCGGCTGCCGCGGTGGCCACCGGCTTCAGTGGCTACCTGACCTCCCTCATCAAGACACTCGACAACGTGGCCGCCACCCCGCGCCTCACGGGCTGGTCGGGCACCACCGTCATCCAGTCTGGGGGGCTCGACATTGACCTAGTGGCGGCCGCCATCGTGCTCCTCATCACGCTGCTGCTCGTGCTGGGCGTGCAGCAGGTCCGTGCGGGGGGCCGCCGCAGCGCCGCTGGTTGCACATAGCGTCGGTGGTCCGCCGGGGCTGCGCAGGCAGGCGGCTGCTGGTGTGCTGTAACGGGGCATGGTTTGCAGGGACGGGTTCTGAGCGGCAGCGGCTCGACAGGTGTGTGACAGCTCAAGTCAGTACTCGTTATTCACAGACTGTTTTGCTGCCCCCGCTCTCACCCACCCCCGCCACTCCACGCACCGCAGGCCGAGTGGGTCCAGAACATCAGCACCAGCCTGTGCCTCTTGGCCATCGTGCTGTCCATCATAATGGGCTTCGTCTACACGGACCGCGGCAACTGGAGCAATTTCCTGCCCATGGGGTTTGACGGCGTCTTCAGGGGCGCCAGTGTCGTGTTCTTCGCCTTCCTGGGTGAGGGGAGCGCGGGTTCGTTGGGGGACTGTGGTCAACCACAGGGGCCAGGCATGATGGCTGTGCCAGGATGTCAGCGCACAGCCGAGCCGCGGCGAAGCACGGTGTGTTGATCGGGCGCACTCATGATCAACAGAGCGCACGGAAAGCGTGGTGTGGCCGCCAAGCGAGTCGGCTGACGTGGTGCACTTGTGCCGTGCCACCGTCGCCCAGGCTTTGAGATGATGGCCACGGGCACCGAGGACTCGGTCAACGGGGCGCGCGACATCCCCATCGCCATTGCCATCAGCGTGGGCGGCTGCACCGTCCTCTACCTGCTGATGGCGCTCGCAGTGACGGGTGGGGGCAGCCCGCAGTAGGGGCGCGTGAGACGCACCCTCGCCTGGGGTCGTGATTGTGCAGATTGGGCCGTGCCATTTTGGCGACGCCTGACCTGCTGCGCCGCATTTCCAACATCGTACATTCTCTGCACGCGTCATGCGTCCATAGTGACGTCAGCAGTGCTCAGCCTAGGCCCATTCCTCCGCCCCACCAGGCATTGTGCCGTGGAACACCATCAGCGAGAGCGCCCCCTTTGCTGACGCCTTCAAGAGCCGCGGCTGCCTGTGGATGGCCATCATCGTCGGCTTCGGCGGCCTGGCAGGCAGGTCCCAACGCAGCGCCACCTGCGCCTGACTTTGCACAAACGCTTGTGGCCTGCCAGGGTGATGCATGCTTGGTATATCTCGATCAGATCAGTGACACCTCCAAGCTGCTCCCCTGTACCGTCCTGCACCTACCGGCTGCCCATCTGCCAACCAGTTCGCCCCGCCCGACCGCGCGAACGACCCCCACTCCTTCCTCCCGCCCCCAGGCATCATGGACACCATTGTGGTGGTGCAGTACTCCATGAGCCGCACCTTTGTGGTGCTGGGCCGCATGGGCCTCGTGCCACCCGTACTGGTGAGGCGCACCGGCGACACATCGCAGGGGGGAGGCGCGGATCAAGGGCAAGGCGGGACAGCTCTTGCTCCGCTTGGCACCCCAGGGGGCGGGTTGGGTCGCACATGGCGGCCGCCGTTCACGGCAACCCGTGTGTGGGTGTTGCGCGCTTGCAGCCGCCAACGGATAAGGTCACCTCATCATCCTGCCCAACGGCAGGGTGATGGGTAGCAGGTGCATGACTGTGGGCTCACCTTGAATCCCCAGTGAAGCGCACTGCGACCTGCCGCCCTCACCAGCCTCGCCGCCGCACCCCCTGCCCTGCAACTCTTCCGCCCCCTTCAGGCGCGTGTGCACCCCAAGACCCAGACCCCCATCGTGTCTGTCGTGTTCTGCGGCCTCCTGTCTGCCGTGCTGGCGCTGTTTGTGCCCATCACGCAGCTGGCGGACCTCACCAGCTTGGGGGCGCTATTCGCATTCTGCGTCGTCTGCTCTGCCGTCATCTTCAGGTGCGGGACGGGGGCCGGGGG